ATTCCCTCCGCCTGTAAACGCCATTTTTCTTTACTACAACTGGTTCAGTGGTACATGTTACTGCCATCTACCGGCAACTGCTTAAATTAAAACTTGAATACTTTCGGAATAATTTCATATGTTCTTTTTTGCTATATTCGTCTTCGTTTTTTTAATATAACGCTTCGAAACCCCGGAGGGAATTACGAATAACCCTGNGTAGCAATTCAACTTAAGAAAGCATGTGGCATGAAAGTTTGCTTAAACATACTTTTATAATTAATGCAGCTATAATTTAGTAAAGAAATTTAGCTATTTTTAGTTGTAAATGTATGTAGCATGATAGTGTAACACTGGTTTATGTTTTGCTGTATTCTTGCTTTACATGTAGATTTCTTTTATGGCTAAGATTTATGAAATAAATAGTAGATACTAGTTTACAAGATAAAGGTGTATCAATTGTTATTTAATTATGTGTCCAATGTTTATAAATTTGAGACCTGTTTCGTGTTGTTTAGGTATTTCAAAAGGTGATTTTCTATTTAATGAATTTTCCATATAACGAACATTTTATCGGGATTTAGCGACTTCATGAAATAGAGATCCGACTGTAGTATATCTATTTCAGCTAACGGTTTCAATATACAGGGTTATTCATAATTCCCTCCACCTGTAAACGCCATTTTTCTTTACTACAACTGGTTCAGTGGTACATGTTACTGTCATCTACCGGCAACTGCTTAAATTAAAATGTGAATACTTTCGGAATAATTTCATATGTTCTTTTTTGCTATATTCGTCTTCGTTTTTTTACTATAACGCTTCGAAACTCCGGAGGGAATTATGAATATTTTATGAATTTTTACGTTAACTTTTCATACTACCTAATTTAAATTAAAAATAATTTTGTTTAGAAAATTTTCTATGCTAGTATGCTATGTTTTAGAATTTCACTTATTTAATAAAATAGTATTAAAAGCTTAAAAGATATTGGACGATATTTTAAAAATATTTAAGGCATCTGTAACAGGCAGGTGTGAAATGAATATGATATCTTTCATCTTAATCCAATAAATATTTGCATTCAGTTTATGTCTTCGAACGGAATTATGCCATATCACAATGATTTATTCATTTACTGTTTATTCTAAACTGTTGCCACTCAACCGAGTAATATTGTGTTTTCATGCGTGTTGAAACCTTTAAGTGGTCTGTCGGAACATTATTTACAAGTGTCTGATAATTTTTTCTCCGAGTTAATTTTGTACCTAGGAAGCTGCTCAACTGTGTCTTTATATCATGGAACGTTCTTGAAGTCCACTGAACTCTGGTAAATATTATTTCCAGGAAAATTCAAATTTTGCGAAAAAAATTTATTATTTTCCTTTGGCTAAAACGAAGACTTAGATAAATAGACAATCTAATAAATTATTATTTATTTTTTTTATTTTTCATTCTACGAATTTTAAACTTTCAAAATATAACTATGAAAAATAATAAATTAAGTCAAATTTTGAGATTGATGCTATAGGATATAAGATTTCGAATGAATATAGTCTTTCATAAAATTATACATAAAAGTTTAACAAACTTCTGTATCAATTTCTGTATTAAGAATTTTGAGATAGGTACTGTAGAAAAAAGAGTTCGAATGAATATAGTCGTTCATAAAATGATACATAAGAGTTTAATAAATTTTTGTATCGATTTTTCTATTAAGAATTTTGAGATAGGTACTGTAGAATAAAGAGTTCGAATGAATATTGTCGTTCATAAAATGATACATAAGAGTTTAATAAATTTTTGTATCGATTTTTCTATTAAGAATTTTGAGATAGGTACTGTAGAATAAAGAGTTCGAATGAATATTGTCGTTCATAAAATGATACATAAGAGTTTAATAAATTTTTGTATCGATTTTTCTATTAAGAATTTTGAGATAGGTACTGTAGAATAAAGAGTTCGAATGAATATTGTCGTTCATAAAATGATACATAAGAGTTTAATAAATTTTTGTATCGATTTTTCTATTAAGAATTTTGAGATAGGTACTGTAGAATAAAGAGTTCGAATGAATATTGTCGTTCATAAAATGATACATAAGAGTTTAATAAATTTTTGTATCGATTTTTCTATTAAGAATTTTGAGATAGGTACTGTAGAATAAAGAGTTCGAATGAATATTGTCGTTCATAAAATGATACATAAGAGTTTAATAAATTTTTGTATCGATTTTTCTATTAAGAATTTTGAGATAGGTACTGTAGAATAAAGAGTTCGAATGAATATTGTCGTTCATAAAATGATACATAAGAGTTTAATAAATTTTTGTATCGATTTTTCTATTAAGAATTTTGAGATAGGTACTGTAGAATAAAGAGTTCGAATGAATATTGTCGTTCATAAAATGATACATAAGAGTTTAATAAATTTTTGTATCGATTTTTCTATTAAGAATTTTGAGATAGGTACTGTAGAATAAAGAGTTCGAATGAATATTGTCGTTCATAAAATGATACATAAGAGTTTAATAAATTTTTGTATCGATTTTTCTATTAAGAATTTTGAGATAGGTACTGTAGAATAAAGAGTTCGAATGAATATTGTCGTTCATAAAATGATACATAAGAGTTTAATAAATTTTTGTATCGATTTTTCTATTAAGAATTTTGAGATAGGTACTGTAGAATAAAGAGTTCGAATGAATATTGTCGTTCATAAAATGATACATAAGAGTTTAATAAATTTTTGTATCGATTTTTCTATTAAGAATTTTGAGATAGGTACTGTAGAATAAAGAGTTCGAATGAATATTGTCGTTCATAAAATGATACATAAGAGTTTAATAAATTTTTGTATCGATTTTTCTATTAAGAATTTTGAGATAGGTACTGTAGAATAAAGAGTTCGAATGAATATTGTCGTTCATAAAATGATACATAAGAGTTTAATAAATTTTTGTATCGATTTTTCTATTAAGAATTTTGAGATAGGTACTGTAGAATAAAGAGTTCGAATGAATATTGTCGTTCATAAAATGATACATAAGAGTTTAATAAATTTTTGTATCGATTTTTCTATTAAGAATTTTGAGATAGGTACTGTAGAATAAAGAGTTCGAATGAATATTGTCGTTCATAAAATGATACATAAGAGTTTAATAAATTTTTGTATCGATTTTTCTATTAAGAATTTTGAGATAGGTACTGTAGAATAAAGAGTTCGAATGAATATTGTCGTTCATAAAATGATACATAAGAGTTTAATAAATTTTTGTATCGATTTTTCTATTAAGAATTTTGAGATAGGTACTGTAGAATAAAGAGTTCGAATGAATATTGTCGTTCATAAAATGATACATAAGAGTTTAATAAATTTTTGTATCGATTTTTCTATTAAGAATTTTGAGATAGGTACTGTAGAATAAAGAGTTCGAATGAATATTGTCGTTCATAAAATGATACATAAGAGTTTAATAAATTTTTGTATCGATTTTTCTATTAAGAATTTTGAGATAGGTACTGTAGAATAAAGAGTTCGAATGAATATTGTCGTTCATAAAATGATACATAAGAGTTTAATAAATTTTTGTATCGATTTTTCTATTAAGAATTTTGAGATAGGTACTGTAGAATAAAGAGTTCGAATGAATATTGTCGTTCATAAAATGATACATAAGAGTTTAATAAATTTTTGTATCGATTTTTCTATTAAGAATTTTGAGATAGGTACTGTAGAATAAAGAGTTCGAATGAATATTGTCGTTCATAAAATGATACATAAGAGTTTAATAAATTTTTGTATCGATTTTTCTATTAAGAATTTTGAGATAGGTACTGTAGAATAAAGAGTTCGAATGAATATTGTCGTTCATAAAATGATACATAAGAGTTTAATAAATTTTTGTATCGATTTTTCTATTAAGAATTTTGAGATAGGTACTGTAGAATAAAGAGTTCGAATGAATATTGTCGTTCATAAAATGATACATAAGAGTTTAATAAATTTTTGTATCGATTTTTCTATTAAGAATTTTGAGATAGGTACTGTAGAATAAAGAGTTCGAATGAATATTGTCGTTCATAAAATGATACATAAGAGTTTAATAAATTTTTGTATCGATTTTTCTATTAAGAATTTTGAGATAGGTACTGTAGAATAAAGAGTTCGAATGAATATTGTCGTTCATAAAATGATACATAAGAGTTTAATAAATTTTTGTATCGATTTTTCTATTAAGAATTTTGAGATAGGTACTGTAGAATAAAGAGTTCGAATGAATATTGTCGTTCATAAAATGATACATAAGAGTTTAATAAATTTTTGTATCGATTTTTCTATTAAGAATTTTGAGATAGGTACTGTAGAATAAAGAGTTCGAATGAATATTGTCGTTCATAAAATGATACATAAGAGTTTAATAAATTTTTGTATCGATTTTTCTATTAAGAATTTTGAGATAGGTACTGTAGAATAAAGAGTTCGAATGAATATTGTCGTTCATAAANAATTGATAAACTACCACTTTAAAATATATATTTGCTGTCCGGAGCAGGTTGGCATCTCTGTAAAATGAGCATTTTTACGCTCAGATGCCCAAGTAAATTTTAACGATAAAGTTGTTTTAACGGTAAGGTTGGAAAATTATTTTCCAAAATAATTTTTACCTAATTTTAATAATTATTTTATGCAGATTTTTATCTTAAAAACATTAAAGCAATAAAGTGAATAAATATGTTATCTCAGTATATTTTTTAAAGATTAAACTTGGAGGCATTGTGGGGAAAACTGGAAATCGCAGGGAGGGGAAAACTGCGAACTCTGTATCCCCTGAGCTTCCACGGCTCCTCAAGTGTTATTGATTCCTTATTTTAACCCCTATGACGAATGGGTATTCGGCAAGTAGTTAATAAATCAATAATACTGTATTATCGACAAGAGTATGTACCGATCCTCTCGCAATGGGCAACTAGCTTCAATGAAGTACACATTTAGAAAGTTAACACTGAGCATATACTCACAGCTCTTGTTTTGTTTTGTTCACACATGAATATAATGGCGTGAGTATCTGTTCCATTGAGATCTGTATATCCGAGGACATCTTCCTTGCACGTACTCCATCCACTGGATGCCTATAAAAAATGGTTGTTTTAAGCATCACTAGAGAATATATTGGCGATAAACGAATGTGAAAAATATACTTAACAATGCAAAATCTTCATTTTGCTTCAAAAAACTATGAAAGTGTGTAAGGTTGACATGTTTCGGGCTCTTGAAAATAAGCACCCATTCTCAAGACTCCCACTCTCAGAAATAAAACTCTTGACCGATTCAGCAATTCTTGAGTTTCATTTGGTTAATTTTGAGAATAATTTCGCCACGAAATCGCGTGATTTGAGACAATTTTGAAAAATTTGAGAAAATTGTGATTTTTTTATACAATTATATATTTTTACAATTATTAATCTGATTGAAATTTTGTTATTGCTAGGAAAAACGCACTTCAAAAAGCATATATTATCTGAAACGATCCATAATTTTAAAACTCTATTTTATTAAAAAAAAAAAAAGCCCAATCAAAGATCAGTTTTATTTTAGGTTTAAAAAATGAAATTAAACCTAAAATACGACGCATCTATATCAATATTGCTACCACTTTAGATAAAAATGGATGTAATGGATTGCATTGATAAGTAGTTTTTTACCACTTGAATATTTTTAGTGGACATTTGAGAGCTTCGCCTATTGAAAATCGACAATAAAGATTCGAAAACTGATAGCATGTGTAGAAACCCGATACATGCTAGATGATAATTATCATAAATTGAAATAGCTGGAAAATTAGGAAAGTTTCAAATTGCTTTAAGTAGTTTGCAACCACTTGGATATTTCAAGTAAACATTTGAGAGCTTCGCCTATTGAAAATCGGCAATAAAGGTTCGGAAACTGATTGCATATGTAGAAGCCTGATACATGATAATTAGCATAAATTGAAGTGGTTGCGAAATTAGGAAAATTTCAAATTGAGTTGATAAGTTGTTTGTTACCACTTGAATATTTTTAGTGGACATTTGGGAGCTTCGCCTATCGAAAACAGACAAAAACTTTAGGGACCACCCAATAATTGAGCATCTCAGACAATAATAGTTAAGAAAATTGTAACGAAATATAATTATTTTAGGTCTGAAAATCTTTTGTTTAAGTTATAGTTTCCCTTTTTTAAAACTGTTGAAAAATATTTCAGAAAATGATAATTAGCAAAAAAGTGTTTTTACAAGTCGAAAATTAGTTTGCTAACACTTAAAAGCAGGAAAGATCTAATTAATAGATTTTACATACAAATATTTAAAAACTGATTTGATACTGTGTGTAAAACAGATTAAATTCAACATTAAAAATTGAGATTTATATTTTTAACTCATTACTATTGTTGCTACTACAAAAAAAAATAGTTTTTTAAACAACATATCAACAACTATGAAAAGCGTTTGTATCTTATTTATTTAAAGAAAAAAAGGTACACTAACACTGAATTTTTTAAATTCATTATATAGCCTCATAATAATATGAACATACAACAGTATAAACCCATAATAATATGAACTAATAATAATTGTTTAGACTCATAAAAACATTTTGAAAATATCTATTTAAAACGGAAAATAACTTATTAATATTTTTAAGAATATTAAGCAGTAAATAATTTATATTTGTTTTTATAATTAGCTTTACGTTCATTTGTAATCAGTCAACTTATGCGATTAAATTGATTAAAATAATTGTTAAATACAATTAGGAACTATCTTTATTACTAAATAAAATATCTTTGGCGTAAAGCATTGGGCGAGTTTGTTAAGTTACCAAAAACTACACAAAAATTTCGAAACACAAAACTGAACATGAAGTTGACATGGTAACGAAGCAAAACGATTTGATTTTAAGTTTTATCTCAATAGAATCAGAAACTAAATCTGTAAAATAAAATATTATAAGATCTTTGATTGGCATAGTTTTTAATTTTGATGTAATGACATAGGAGAGATTTTGGAAAGCCTTACGATTTCCTCCATAACTAATGTTAAAGCTATTTTAACTCCAAGGAGCATGCTCACAAATTTCCCAAAAATCTGCGTGACGCTAAGGGGTAGAAAATAGGGTTAGCGTTATGGTTGACGAAAGACAAACTCTATGCAAAATCTCTCCAATATCGTCAAGAAACTGAAAATGTGTTCATATCTATAATGGATGTTGGTGAAAGGCAAAGTTCCCTAGAATATTATTAATGTAATATTTCAGTCATTCATCGAAAAGAATTCGAAGAATTAAATGTTTGAAATTAAATACAGTTTTTATCTCTCTACATTAAAAAATTGCTAACAAAGTCACTGTTTTGGTTGTTCGACTTTGCATTTTTATTTTGCTTGCGTAAAAGTTATGAGATTTTTAAAAACTTGAAATTTCAGTGGTGCGTATAAAAATGTTCTTGGAATACGATGGAATTAGAAAAAATTAACACTAGATAATTAGTTCGAGTATTCGTTCGAAACTTGTAGTAAAAAATACCATGCGGACCACTAAGCAGTTATTTTTTTACCGCTAAGGCTTGAAACCCTGCTAATCTGCACATTATGGCTAGATAATTATCTGATTAACAGTAGTGCGCTAATGTGCGGAATCAAGATTATTCCACAGATTACCTAGGTTATGTGAACATTAACTTTTTCCATGGCCGGGCTAGCCAGGTTGGCAGGGCATTGGACTCGCGTTCGTGAGAATGGGAGTTCAAATCCAACCGGGCGAATACTTCCCGTGTAGTCAATAGTGACCGGTGCACGTCGAATCTGTCGGGGCACAAAGTCCTCCATGTTCCCATAACAAATTACACCTCTGAGGGTACTGAATTGGAGATTGATCGTTCTCAGGTTCAGGTCAAAAATACGATCTGAGGACGAATGAATGGATGTATAGTAAGGTCCGTCCTATAAACGGGTGTGACGTATGGGTGGGGCAAAAGTCAAATTCTTGGCCATAGATGGCGCCACTGGAAAACAAGAACAATCGCACCCTTGCCTTAATGGCCTACGACGATAACAACAACTCTTGGCATTCAAAAGGCTTCTCTAAGAAATTTTCACCAATAAACTACTTTCCACTTTAAATGTTAAAATTTTACGTTTCATTGTTTAGTCACGGCTTTTCTCAGTGTCTTCTAGATATTATGTGGTAAGTCTATAATCAAAGAGTTTTGTTTTGAAACGTTTAGTGGTGGCTTCGAGTGAAGAATTCTAGATGGCAAAATACAAAATCTGAGCAAAATCATTCGAATAGTACCTGAGAAATCGAATTTTAAAAATACGACTATTTTGAAATTCGATTTCTCATGAACTACTCGACCGATTTCGATTAAATTTTATATTTTGATAGGTAAAATTACATTCGTTAAAATGATGCAGAAGAATGATGTATGATGCAGAACCTTACAATTCTAATTTTTTCCGACTATTATTAAATAAAATAATAAAAAATAATAAATATTTACTAAAAGTTATTTTTTGTGTGGAATTATCTTTGGATATACAAATTTTATAATTGTGTACAGAAATTTTTCAGTTTGCTTAAAAAGCCTAATTTTGGTCCTCTCTCCTGAAATAAATATTAGGACCATATTACCTAGATTGCAGCTATTCCTATTTTAGAGGTCAGAAATCCGAATCCATAGAAAAAAAAGGTATGTTTATTAAGAGAAAGTACATTTTTGTATCTGATTTAGTATTTTAACATATCGTCTGCATTAATTAATTAGAAATTTTCAAGTCACCCCCAGATAATTAAAATTGAATCTTGGGAACGTGAAGATCCGATCATTAGATCAAAAGTTACTACATTTTTATTTTGTATGCATTGTATGTTACGGTAGTAGTAACTATTCAATCAATAAAAATGAATTGAGTTTTTATATCTTCTTATGTTTTTAGTCGTCTGAGATATACCTGCTAAATCTGAATTTGGTACCCGAAAATAATTGCTACTGCAGCGCGTCAGCCTATTTTCTGGTAGATGCATTAAAATAAGAATATTAAATAATAGTTATTTAAATGTGGTCAATAATTAAACGGCATTCCCTAAATAAAAGTGGTAATTTATACGCTTGTTTATCAGATGTAGCATTATTTGTTTTTAAAAAAAATTGAAACTAATAAGAGAACACTAGAATGGTATACACACTTTGAATTTAAGTATTTTAACAAAGCGCTTAAATAATCAAAATTTTTATCATTAATTTAAGTAAAAAAGCAAGTCTCATACTATTAATTAAATTTGCCTTGCTATTTATATTTAATTTATTTATTGAAATTCCTATTGAAAGTTTCCAATGTTTATGTGAAAAAATGTGTACTCAGATACACAAGAGAATGTTTATTTTCGATTTTTGAAAAATTTTAATGTATGTTTTCCCTGGTTGCAACACTTAGAGAAAAATTATGCTGTAAACCCCTTTCGAAGCAACTTTAGACGTTTCTTAGTTGATTTATAGACAACAAACACTGCTTAAAAGGAATTTAATCAAATGGAAAAACGAAATGCGAGAGAATATTTCGACATGATTTTTGAATTATTTTAATTAATGTTTCTCCTGGTGGAAAATTCTGCTAAAACTCTTGCGATTCAACTTACAGGAAGTTGTTCTAAAGATAGCAAACGATTTTTAGAAGCCATTTAACAAATAAACCTTTTAGTGTAAATTGAGGAATACTAGGCTCCGTAATATTCTAAATGGGTTTTACTTTATGCTACGACATAGAACGCTATAGTTCTATTTCTATACGACATAAATTTCTTATATGGTTTAGAATCCAGACAAAATTGGGGCGCTGTTTATTATTGTTTGGATCGAATTCGATATGCTTAAAAGAAGAACCAGTCTGGTAGACAGCGCAGGGCTTCCTTTTACTAAAGAGAATCCCATTACTTCTTAACTGTAATTACTAAGAACGTTATTCCATCCATAATGATGGGAATTAGAATAAATACTGAGAAAACCATGGTGAATACTCTATTTTAGTGTGGAAGATTAAATGCTTGAGACTTTACGAATGCTATTCGTTATTTGAGTAGAAGCTTCTTAAGTAGAAGCTTCTTAGAAAACGAGCACAATTATTCTTAGAAGAACATTAGAAAAATAAACAATAGAGAAAATATCTCAACTAAATTGATTTTGATGTGCCTAATTAAGAATTGTACGGGTTTTAGAACAATTCTTTTTGAAATTTTGAATTATTATTGAAACTGAATTATTATTGAAATGCAAACATTATATTTTGTAAAGAAAGTGAAGCTCTTTGTCTGATGATAATGCAAGTGCCAATCGTTTTTTTGCCGCAACAAACATAATTTATCAAATTATTAGAACAACCAACTGCATAAAAGGAGCGAAAATGTTCCATTCAAATGATTTTGAGGTGTTTAATTAATTACCACGAGGGTCTTATTAAAAGTTTTCAGGGCAGTTATTTTTATCAAAACGTAAAAAATTATACTTGTAAAGGAAAGGAAATTATTTACACTATTTCGAACATGCTTAATTTAAGAAGAAAGAAATTAAAAACAGGTAGAAATTTTTTCATACCAATATTTAAAAACTGCTTTATTTAAATTCATATTCTTAGAACCCTCGCTGAGATTCTCCAACAAAAATATATATTTTTTAAAAAATGTTAAGAAGTGAATGTTCTTTTAGAAATTTTGGTATCAGTTTCTTAGTTTCTCTAGTCATTTTGATTTAACTTATACTTGCCAACTTTTTGAGGGTGATTTTCCGAAGTGATTAAGAAATGGCAGTTCAGTAAGAGGAATAGAATTTCAAACTGATCATCGTCTACTATTAAGAATTTATACATACTAGGACTGGACGCAACAATATGGAAACGTTTCTATATGAAATCCAGAAAAACAATCTTTATTTTAGGAGAAAGTGTTTTGAAAAATTTTATAAGGCAAAACAGCTGGCACAATTTGATAGTGCTGTAAGCTCTAAAAATATCATTTCACTCCTGCAAAATAACTCGGATCAACCAAAATAAGGAGAGGAATTCGATAGCTTCTTTCTATCTTTAAAGCCAGCTATTTTGAAATTATTCTAAACGAATGCAATATACGAATGCTTTTGAAATTATAGAGGAATCAAAAAGTAAAAAAGCCTTTTTTCTTTCTAAGCTCATTTTGATCAATGTAAAATTTACATGGGTAAAAAAGACACTTTTTCTAAAAGCTCCAAGCTCCATTGGCGCAATCTTTCGAATTGCTCCAACAGTTTTACTACGATCTTCCAAAATGTTTGTTGCTAAAGGAAAGATTGTTTGCAGAGAGTTTTTATCGATGTGTTTCCATAATTTTGTCCAACCCCTGTTTGTCTGACTTATTTATGTGTAGTGACAATTGTAATTTTATATTAAATTTTTAATTTCAGAGACTTAAAAGATTGTTAAATCTTGTGACATTTACAGGAGGAATATTTTCAGTGACAATGATTTTCAGTGACAAATTTCTGAAAGATAATCAAGTATTTGCACAGTGAACTATCTATTTTTTTTTTAATATTTTGCCAACAATTTGATATTTCATAGGGGTGTCGAAACTTAGAAAAAGTTTGGATACCTCAGGCTTAAGGTATTAAGAATTTTCTAAAAATTAAGCTGCACTTTTTAAGCAACTAAAAACGTAATTGTCTAATTAATGTGTCTTACATCTAATATATATAATTCTCTTACGTGGCTCCCAAATTTCGTCTGCATTTCTTTTCCGCCGGTGGCAACGTTTGCTTTGTTTTGTTAACGTTACTATTTCTCTTACACTGCGAATCGACCAATGATTGCCTCTAAAAATGTCACATGCCAAATCTAGCTGAGGTGACTCAACATATAGCGCCTATGAATGACATGTTAT